GCTGCCCGCGGGGAGAAGCTGGGGCCAGGGCCGTCGGGGCTCTGCACAGGGGGATGCGGCACAGCCTGCTCCGCGCCCGCCCTGTCCCCTGCCCCGCGCCGCCCCGCGCCCGGGCACCTGCTGCCCCCGGGTGACCTGGATCCTCCTGCCTCCCCCAGAACACCTCGCTGCTGCAGCGCCCCGATGCCGACCTGCCCCTGTGCTTCGAGCAGACCGTGCTGGTCTGGGTCCCCCTGGGCTTCCTCTGGCTCTTCGCGCCCTGGCACCTGCTGTCCCTGTGCAAGTCCAGTGCCAAGAAATACTCCCGGACCAGGCTCTACCTGGCTAAGCAGGTGCAGTCCAGCCCGAGGGACCTCGCGGTGCAAGGGGCTGGGTCCAGGGGGGCAGGTGGGCACGGCCGGGGGGTACAACAGGCTGGCATGGACTGAAGGGTGTTGCAGGGTGAGTGACAGCGCAGCTCCCCCCTGCCAGACCCCACGACCTCTGTAGCTTGCGGGGCTGGGGCTGGGGTCTGCTGACAGCTGTTCCCCCACAGGCACTGACCGGGCTGCTCCTTCTCACGGCTGTGACTGAGCTGGCCTTCACGCTGGCAGAGGACTTGGGGAGTCCGGGCCCGGCTGGCCAGAGCCCCGCTGTGCACTACACAAACCCCGTGCTGTACACGCTGACCTGGGTAGGAGCTCCCTGCCCCCAGCAGGGGGGATCGGAGCAGTGGGTGGCCCCAGGATACCCCTGTGGTTGTGGGTTCCCACTAAGCATGGGCAAAGGGACCTACGTCCTGGGCTTGGACTGGGACCTGCCTCCATCAGGGGCAGGGGTGGCAAGAATGGGGCACAGGCTCCCTGCAAACTCAGGCAGGTGCTGCTGCTCCAGTCACACTCTGGAGAGGAGGCTTCAGGTCCTGATCCCAGAGCTGTGGGTCCCAGTCCCGGGGCTGTGGGCACTGGACCCTGCGTTTAACCTTTGCTCAGTGGGGCCCTGGGGTTCTGCCCCTTCCCTGATGGCCCCTGACCCAGCTGCTCCCTCGCCAGGTCCTGGTGCTGTTGCTGCACGATGCCCGGCGCCGCTGCCTGCGCAGGGACTGTGGGCTGCTCTTCCTCTTCTGGATGCTCTCCCTGATGTGCGGCATCTTCCCACTCCAGACGCTGATCCGGAGGGCGCTGCAGGTCAGGTCCTGCAGGACCTCTGTGCTCCCAGCTTGGCCCCTGGGGAATCCCTTCCTTGCTCCTGCTCCAGACAGGCAGGGGTGTTCGGCTCCCCTGTTCACACCAGGCCCTTGCACTTGGGTCCAGGCGGGGGCTGGAAGGAGACAGGCCAGGGCCCGGCCACCCCTGCCACAGGAAGGGCGGTAGGAGGGTGTGTTCTGCTTGGCCCCAGACACCACCCTGGCTTTGTGGGATCTGGCCCCGCTCCTGTCCTGGCCGACGGGTTGAGCTGGTGCCTGGGCCTTGCTTTGAGATAGCCTGGGCAGCTCCTGGATGTCTCCCTCCCACAGGGCCCCATCCCTGACGTGCCACGGTTCAGCCTCTTCCTCCTCTCCTATGGGCTTCAGCTTGTCCTCACTGTCACCTCCACCTTCTCCGACGTCGCCCCTGAAACTGCCGAGGCTGCCAGGAAGGTGAGGCCCTGGGTGCTGTGGGGAACCAGCTGGGGAGCCCCACAGGCAGCCAGGGGCTGGGGACAGAGGGCTGAGTCCGTGGGAGACCCTGGAGCCATTCTGCGGGCTCTGTGGAGCAGTTCCCACCATGGGCTGGTGCATGGAGAAAGGGCTCCTGGCCTCCATCCTGCACAGCCCTGAGACTGGGCTGGTGCCCGCATGGCATGATGGGGCCAGAGCCAGCCCCCCAAACCCCTGCAGAGCGGCCGGCTCAGGGGACAGACGCTCCTTGTCCTTGTGCCCTAGAACCCCGAGGTCACGGCCTCCTTCCTGAGCTCCATCACCTTCAGCTGGTACAGCAGGTACGTGGGACGCGGGGCAGGGCTGGGCCAGGGCACTGCTGGGGCCACGTGGTGTCTACACCTTGAATGCTGCACCCAGCTCTGGTCCTGTGCCTTCCAAAGGATAGAGAAGAACTAGAGAAGGGCAACAAGGCGGATTTGTAGTGGTAGGGAGGGGTTTGCACGGGAGAAGAGACTAACGGGGTCAGGCCTGGTTGGTTTAGAAAAGCAGGGACAGGAGGCGGGTTTGCACAATACTAAACAGCGACGAGAAGGTCTGCAGGGAGTTATGACTGACAGTCTCTCGCCGGACAAGACCTGGGGGCACAACATGAGACGAACAGCAGAACCGGGGCTGGTCACCGGGGTATGGTGGTTGGGGGTGTGGGGTGAGGGCTCAAGACAACTGGTGGGGGGGTCCCCGCAGCAGAGCTGACCGAACCCTCTGGCCCAGGATGGTGTGGAAGGGGCACCGCAAGCCCCTGGAGATGGAGGACCTGTGGGAGCTGCGGGACCAGGAAAGGACACAGCCAGTCTCCGTGGCCTTCGAGCGGCACATGCAGGCTGAGCTGCGGCGGGCCCGGCGGGCGCTGGAGCACCGACACCACCGCCGCAGGAACCATCCCGCTGACATGGAGCACAAGAACGGGCTGGCCCCGGCCCAGAGCCACGACGTCCTGGTGCTGGTAATGCCCTCAGCTGCACTGGGGCGGAGCTCAGACCAGGGCACCTTGTCCCCACCCCTCCCAGCACAGCACAGCACAGCAAGGCGGGGGCTGGAGGGCCCCTGTTCCCGGAGTTTGCTCCCTCCAGCTCCCCTCCTCACCGTGCCCTGAGTTGAGCCATGTCCTGCCCTGCTGTGCTGCAGCCGCAGAGGCTGGAGATGCACCACCTGTTCTCCCCTGCTCCAGCCAGGTGCCAGCCAAGGGGCCCTGGCATGGCCATGGGGAGCACCGCTCTCCTGCTGCCCTGTCCCCCTCCCCAGGACCCATTCCCTCTGCCCTTCCTTTGATCCGGGGCTGGCTCGAATTGCTCCCATCTGACCCAGGGAGGGGGAACGTGTGAGCGGGTGGAGCTCCCTGACTGGGTGTCAGAGGGGGGCAGAGGAGGGGTCCTGCAGGGTCCCGTGGGCATGGGACCCCCAGGCAATGACCCAACGGGGGATGCTGAGCCCCATCCAACCCCCTGCAGGAGGAGAAGCCAAAGAAGAACAGGAGGAAGCAGCAGGGAGTGGCAGACCCCAGCGGGGACTTCCCCCGGCGCTGGCTCTTCAAGGTGCTGATCCGATCCTTCTCGGGCAACCTCCTGTGCTCGGTGGCCTTCAAGCTGGTGCACGACCTGCTGGTCTTCGCCAGCCCCCAGCTGCTGAAGTGAGTCTGGGGGGGGTTCATGCTCTGCACCAGCCCTGGTGCTGATGCAGCCATGAGGCGCCTTGATTCAGGGGGCAGGGTGAGGCCTCCTGGGGGCCTGGACTCTGGGGCAGGGCTGGGCATCCCGGGACCACGAGTGACCTGGGAGCTGTCTCCTGGCCCGGGGCTGAGCTGCTCTCTCCATGGCTGTGCTGCCAGGGCGCTGATCGCCTTCGTGGCAGACCCAGGGGCCTTCGCCTGGCAGGGCTACCTGTACGCGGTACTGCTGTTCGTGGCGGCGCTGGCCCAGTCCTTCTGCCTGCAGCAGTACTTCCAGCTGTGCTTCAGCCTGGGCCTAAGCGTGCGCACTGCCCTCATGGCTGCTGTCTACAAGAAGGTGGGTGGGTCCCGATGGCACTGGAGCCCTCCCCATCTCCCGTCACCCCGGCCCTGGGCTCTGGGCCCTCTGTCCCTGTGGGGGAGGTGGGCCGTGCAGCTGGATGCACCATGGGGATCCCCTCAGGAGATGGGCCGGGGCTCCAGCCTGAGACCTGTGTGCCCGTCGACTCCGGCTGGTTTGGCCATGGTGCCGCCTGCCACGTCCTGCTTGGCTCCTGTGCCTGGGGCGGGCAGGGGCTCAGTGGATCCGTCCCCCAACACCCTCCATGACCGTGCTCTCTGGCCCCAGGCACTCACCATTTCCAGCGCCACACGCAAGGAGTCCACGGTGGGGGAGACAGTGAACCTGATGTCGGTCGATGCCCAGCGCTTCATGGATCTGACCAACTTCGTGCACCAGCTGTGGTCGTCCCCGCTGCAGATTGCCCTCGCCATCGCCTTCCTCTGGGCCGAGCTGGGCCCCGCCGTGCTGGCTGGGCTGGGCGTCATGGTGCTGCTCATCCCCATCAACGCCGTCCTGGCCACCAAGGCCAGAGCCATTCAGGTCTCTGGCCAGGCAGCCTGCTCCCCGGTCTGGCTCCCTGAGCCCCTTGCCAGCCCCAGCCCCTGGTCCTGCCCCAGCCCCAATCCCTATCCCAGCCCCAGCCCTTGACTCCTGGCTCCTGCCCCTGCCCACGCCCCAATCCCCACCCTAGCCCCTGCCCTAGCTCCTGCCCCTGCCCTCTGCCAACTCCGACATCTCTCTGCAGATGAAGAACATGAAGAACAAGGATGAGCGCATGAAAATCATGACCGAGATCCTCAGCGGGGTCAAGGTGAGGGAGGGGCCGGACCTGAGCTCCCCGGCCCCTGGGACCTCACCAGCTGCCCCTCCCTGCCTTCCTCCTACCACAGCTCAGACCACATGGGCAGGTTGCTGTGGGGCTTTCTCTGCCACGAACTGCCCACACAGCCCGGGCTGTTGCGGGTCTGGGGGCAGTGGCCTGGGGGCATAGTCTGGGCCGCCTGCTTGGGGCACCTGGTGAAGGAGCAGTGCCAGGGCTGGAGGGTGCCGTGGGGTGGGGGGGCTGGGGCTGGGGCCAGGACAGGCTGACACGGGCGTCTCTCAGATCCTGAAACTCTTCGCCTGGGAGCCGTCGTTCGAGCGCCGGGTCGGAGGAATCCGGGAGCGGGAGCTGAAGGGGCTGCTGCACTTCACCTACCTGCAGGCCGTGTCCTTCTTCATCTTCACCTGTGCTCCCTTCCTGGTGAGGGCCCGGGGACCACACTGCCCAGGGCTGCCCTGGGGGAGGACAGGGATGCCCTTGGAGTGGGGGGTAGGGCTGGGACAAGGGACGGGGTGGGAGTCGGGGGTGGGCACACACCGGCTGCGTGGGTCCCCATCTCATGCCCCTGCCCTCAGGTCTCCGTGGCCAGCTTCGCCGTCTTTGTCCTGGTGGACGAGAGCAACATGCTGGATGCGCAGAAGGCCTTCACCTCCATCTCGCTCTTCAATGTGCTGCGCTTCCCCCTGGCCATCTTACCCATGGTCATCTCCACCTTGGTGCAGGTGGGGCAGGGCAGGCCAAGTCCTGCTGCTTGAGCCTTGCACACATCCCATGGCCCCTGCAGCCCATGGGTTTAGTGCCCAGAGCAGGAGGTTCAGCCGCAGGACTGATGCTGCCGGGAGCTCAGGACGCGGGCAGGGGTTCACAGGGTCAGGCCCTGCTGTTGCCTCTGAGATCGGCTCGTGCTGCGGGGAACCCCGGAGCCCCCTGTGCTGCCCACGGGCATGCCGCCCCCATATCCCAGCATAGCCCGTTGTGGGGCCCTGGGAGCAGACCCGCATGCCCAGGACTCACCATCCCGCTCGGGTCTGGCTATCTGACGCCCACCCTGCTTCCCCAGACCAGCGTGTCCGCCGAGCGGCTGGAGCGGTACCTGGGGGGTGACGACCTGGACACCTCAGCCATACGACACGACCCCATTCCCGGTAACCGAACGGCCCCGCGCGCACGGCAGGGCCTGAGGGTCCTCCTGGTGTCTGCAGAGCCTGTCCGGGTGTGCGGGGTCCTGGGGCAGGGGGCTCGGCCCCACTGGAGGCACCACGGGCTGGAGGGGGAGCTGCCCCGTCCCTGAGCACTGCCCGTTCCCTTGGCAGGCAGCGCAGTGCGATTCTCCGAGGCCTCCTTCGCCTGGGACCAGGACGCTGGCCCAGCAGTCAGAAGGTGAGTGGGCTGCGGTAGGGCCAGGGTCGTGCCCGTGCCGGTGCAGGGGGGTCTTGGGCACCCACCCAGTGCCCCACACCTCCCGACCTCTTGCCCTGCAGAGTGACCCTGGATGTGGCGCCAGGGTGCCTGGTGGCTGTGGTGGGGGCCGTGGGCTCTGGGAAGTCCTCGCTGGTGTCTGCCATGCTGGGGGAGATGGAGAACGTCCATGGGCACATCAACATCCAGGTGAGGGAGCCCCGGGCATGGTGCCGGCAGCTGAAGCAGGGCCCTGAGGGGATGTCTTGGGACCGGGCAGCCACAGCGCCAGCCTGAGATGAGGCCAGTCCACCGGCACTGCAGCCACGTACCTCCGTCCTGACCTGCCCCTGCTCACCCAGCCCTGGGGCCTGCCCCAGCTTGTAGCCCTGTCCTCTGCCCCCAGCCCTGGGCTCCCCGCGCGCACAGCCCCCTGCTCCTGCCATCCCGGGCTTAGCTCCCCCGTGGCCACGGCACACTGTGGCAGCGTGGCCACGGGCAGGCGCCTCCCCGGCAGACTGGTGCCAAAAGGTCTTGATCTCCAGCGGTGCCTGCCCCCCACGCAGGGCTCCCTGGCCTATGTGCCACAGCAGGCGTGGATCCAGAACGCCACGCTGAAGGACAACATCCTCTTCGGGTCAGCGCTGGATGAGGCCCGATACCAGCGGGTCCTGCAGGCCTGCGCCCTCCTGCCTGACCTGGAGCTGCTACCGGCCAGAGACCTGACCGAGATTGGGGAGAAGGTATCTAGCCGCCCGCCCGGGGTGGTGGGTGCACGGAGGGGCTGGGGGGCACTAGGTGTGAGCCCAGGGGCTCGTGGTGCCTGGCCCCTGGCGGGGGTGGGAGCGGGGAATGCTTCCCTGTATCAGGAGCTCGGGACCCTGGGGGTTACAGATGTTGCTCCCCCTCCAGGGCATCAACCTGAGCGGGGGCCAGAAGCAGCGGGTCAGCCTGGCCCGGGCCGTGTACAGCGAGGCCGACATCTACCTCCTGGATGACCCCCTCTCCGCCGTGGATGCCCACGTGGGGAAGCACCTCTTTGAGCACGTGCTGGGCCCTGAGGGGCTGCTCAGGGACAAGGTGGGGGCTGAGGCTGGGACAACAAGGGGCCTGTGGGCCTGCGGCTCCAGGGGGCAGGAGCTGTGGCAGAGGAGCCCGGGGCCAGTACTGGGCTGGGAGTGGAAGAGGGGGCATCTGGGGAGGAAGCCGATGGGGTCAGGGAGCCCAAGGGCTGTCTGTGGCCCTGGCTGGAGTAGGAGTGGGTGGGGGGTGCCTGGTCCCCATGCCGGGGGCCTCTGCAGCCTTGACACTTTCTCCGCTGCAGACCCGGATCCTGGTGACCCACGGCATCAGCTTCCTGCCACACACAGACAAGATCGTGGTGCTGGTGGGTGGCGCGGTGTCCGAGCATGGCTCCTATGGGGCCCTGCTGGCCAGTGGGGGGGCCTTCGCCCAGTACCTGAGCACCTACGGGGGCCAGGAGCAGCGCGAGCCCGAGGGACAGGCCACAGGTGAGTGGTACGGCTGGGCCGCGGGCAGCGGGGGAGGGCACGTGGCTCTGGGTCTCCTGCCGGAAGGGGCCGTTGCATTCCCGCACTGGAGCCCTGCTCTGTGCTGAGCATGCCCCAGGCTCTGGGAGTGGGGAAGGGGCCCCAGGGCAGGGGCTGAGCACCCCCTCCATGGGGTTGGCCTTTCCAGCTGATCTGGGTCATAGTGACGCTGCCTGGCCCCACATCTGCTGGGCATCTCCCCTGCTGTGACTGGGGGCTGGTGCCCAGGTGGACAGGCCACGACAGGGAGGGCCCAGCCCCAGACAGATCCGTCCTCACCCTCCTTCCCCGGGCACGGCTACGTGTTGGTGCTGGGTGCGTGGCGCGGCCGGGGTTGCTTGGCAGGAGGTGCTGCGGGTCATAGTGACGCTGCCTGGCCCCACATCTGCTGGGCATCTCCCCTGCTGTGACTGGGGGCTGGTGCCCAGGTGGACAGGCCACGACAGGGAGGGCCCAGCCCCAGACAGATCCGTCCTCACCCTCCTTCCCCGGGCACGGCTACGTGTTGGTGCTGGGTGCGTGGCGCGGCCGGGGTTGCTTGGCAGGAGGTGCTGCAGGAGCAGGGAGCGGGGCCCCCCCCCCCCCGACCCCTGAGCCTGTGGCTGGTGCTGCAGCGGGGGCTGGTGAGGAGGAGGAGGAAGCTGGCGAGACGCTCGAGGCCAGCGCAGAGGAGGTGCCCACCGACGTGGTGACCTCGACCCTCAAGAGAGAGGCCAGCATCCGACGCTTCAGTCGCAGGTGGGGGGCCCTGGGCAGCTCTGCCCTTGGGGCTGCTGGAAAGGGCCCAGAGTCCTTGTCCCAGCTGGTCTCTGGGGCCTCCACGCGCGGCTCCCCAGCGGTGCCCAGCTGTGGGGCCCAGCTGCAGCTGGCCGGGTGCTTGCAGCTGCCTGGAGCTGAGCGCTTGGAGGCTGCATCCCGCGCCCTGCTCCCGTGGGCACTGGGGGCGGGGGGGCCTGGCCGGCTGCTTTCATCCCACCTGGGAGCCTGGGAGGGTGGGGAGCCAGCTGGGCCCTTGGCTGGGCAGGGGGTCCTGGTTAGGGGGGGCAGGCTGAGCTGTCTGGAGCTGGGGGCTGTGCAGGTTTGGCGGTGGGGACAGGAGCAGACTTGGATTCAGGGGGTCTGAGAGGGCCCCATTTCCAGAGGGCCCCTTGCTGCCCTGGAGCCCCCGGCCTGGGCAGTGTGCTGGGGACAGGAGCAGGCAGGCAGGAGAGGCAGGGCTGGGACTGGGGCTGGGGCTGGGGCCCGCACCCCAAGCAGCTGCCCCATCTCTCACAGACATGGTCCCCCCACGGCAGCATCAGCACCAGCACCAGCAGCACCCAGTCCCGGCAGAGGGTGGTGCCCGTGGGCCAGCGGGGCCCAAAGGGGCGGGAGGCAGGCGAGGAGCTGAGGGGCCAGCGCCTGATTGAGAAGGAGGCCATGGAGAGCGGCAAGGTGAGGCAGGGCTGCACGGCCGGTGGAGGGGTGGGGGGGGCTGCGGGATCCCTGCTGCTTGGTGGTCCCCGGGAAGAGCTGATGCCATTGCTGCCCCGCAGCCTGTGCGAAAGGGGGGCTGCTGTGATGGGGGTGCAGGGGCTCGCAGTGCAGGGGGCCGTGGGGTGCCAGGCCATGCCGGGTGGTGACGGGCCATGCCGTCGGCAGGTGAAGCTGTCTGTGTACATGCAGTACCTGCGGGCCATCGGCTGGGGCTTCTCGGCCTGCGTGTTCCTGTCGTACGTGGTGCAGTACGCTGCCTTCATGGGCTCCAACCTGTGGCTCAGCGACTGGACCAACGATGCCCTGCGCTACCAGAACCAGACCTACCCCGCGGCCCAGCGTGACCTGCGCATCGGGGTCTTCGGGGCACTGGGCATGGCGCAAGGTGAGCCAGGGGCTGTGGGAGGCTAGGGAGGGGGCGGCAGATTGCCCGGCCCAAGGCTGCAGCCTGAGCTGGGGATGGGGTGGGCTGTGCCAATGCTGCTGCTGGCACCAACCCCGCAGGGTCTGATTCAGACTGGTGTGCACTGGGGAGTTTTGCCTTCCTCTGCAGCGGGGGCATGGCCTGGGCCTGGGATCTCTGGTGCCCGTCTTGACAGCAGTTCATAGAAGCAGGACATTGGCCACTGCGGCCCCCCTGCTTTCCCGGGTTCGGGTGCTAGGTTTGCACTGTGCCAGGGTTGAGGGTAGTTGTATTAGATGATGGATTTGCCTAGGCTGATTTGGACAGGGCTGATCCTGCGTCAGGCAGGGCTGGACTAGCTGTGACCTCCGTGGGTCCCTTCCAGCCCCACGGCTCTAGGATTCCTCGATGAGGTGAAGCTGCTCCTGGTGACCTGGGCTGGGGGAGCCAGCCAGGCTGGGGCCTCCCGTTGTGCTGTGGGGAGGCGGCTCTGGCGCCAAAGGGTCCCTGAATGCCCTGAAGGGAGGGGGGTCGGGGGCTAGGCCCACAGAGCTCGGTGCTGACCTGCCTGTGCCGGTGCCCAGCCGCCTTCCTGCTGGTGGGAATCATCCTCATGGCCCACGGCGCCATCCAAGCCTCCCGGGTGCTGCACCAGCAGCTGCTCAGCAACATCCTGCGCGTGCCCATGAGCTTCTTCGACACCACGCCCACCGGCCGCATCGTCAACAGGTTTGCCAAGGTGAGGCTGCACTCAGGGGAGAGGACGACACAACGCCCACCCACACCCTGAAGCCGCTCACAGCAGGACTTTGCAAGCCCCCTGCCTGCCCTCTGCCTCGGTTTCCCTGCTGCCTGTGTCCCACGGTCCCAGGCGCAGCCCAGGCTGGGAGTCAGAGCGCTTTCGGGGGTGGTTCCCTTGGGCGGTACGAGGCCCTCTCCTGTTCTCACCGGCTGCCTCCACGGTTTCCCCCCAGGACATCTTCACCGTGGACGAGACCATCCCAATGTCGTTCCGCAGCTGGCTGGCCTGCCTGCTGGGCATTGTCAGCACGCTGCTCATGATCTGCCTGGCCACCCCGTTCTTTGCCCTCGTCGTCATCCCCCTGGCCCTCTTCTACTTCTTTGTGCAGGTGAGTGCTGGGGTGGGGCTGGGATCCGTGGGGCCAGGCCCCCGCTTGTCCCCTGCGCTGGGCCGTGCACGTCCGTCAGCCCAGCCTGTGCTGCAGCCTCTGAGCAGAGGGACGGGCTCTGGGCAGCGACCGAGGGTGGCAATGACGGAGCCGTCCCTCTGCCCCCAGCGCTTCTACGTCTCCACGTCGCGGCAGCTGCGGCGCCTGGACTCGGTCACCCGGTCGCCCATCTACTCCCACTTCAGCGAGACAGTGTCGGGGCTGCCGGTGATCAGAGCCTACCAGCACCAGCAGCGGTTCCTGCAGCACAACGAGGCCATCATGGACATCAACCAGAAGAGTGTCTTCTCCTGGATCGTCTCCAACAGGTGAGGACACCCTGCCTCATCCCCCAGCTGGCTCCAGCCACTAGGACCGGCGGTCCCCACAGGGCAGTGGTGGGTCCTGCCTGCCCCCCAGGCCCTTGGCAGCCATGCTGGGAGCGGGTGCCCTCCTGGCCTTTCAGCTACATGGAGCCCTGTTCAACCTGGGGATGCTCCAGGCCATGTCAGGACTGGTGCTGCTGGGCATGGGGGTCGAACCCCAGTCATCTTGGTGTGTGGAGTGCAGGCACTGCTCTGGGGAGAGGGGCTTGGACTGGCAACTTTGGCTGCCGGGCTTGGGCCCTGCTGGAGACTTCCCAGAGAAAGGGGAGGCTGCACTGAGATACCAAGGTGGTTTGGGTGCACGCCGGGAGCTGCTAGAGGACAGGGCACGGGTGCCTGTGGGTGTTGGGGCGGCCCTAGGAGAGCATCTGCAGTCACTGGCAGGGGCAGTTCCACGGAAGAGGCAGGAGCAGAAACAGGATGATTTGGAGTGGAAGAGGGGAGCGATTGGGGTGCCTCGGGGGAGAGCTGGGGGTGGCTCTGAGACAACAGCCAAGGATGTGCGAGAGGCTCAGGGAGACAGCCCAGGGGTGGGGGGAGCTCATGGGTGAAGCTGGGGGGTGAGTCCTGAGGGCGATGGGGTGAGCAGGCTGGGACACCGGGAAGAGCG